ACACAAACGGCACTTTCACTGATGATATCATTATTGTGATACGTTTTACTGTTTTGAAACACTAATATTTGTGTTCAGCGAAGTCTCCAGAGTATAATAGTACTCTCAATGCACAGGTTTTAAAGTGTTTTTGAATGATACATGGTCAAATATAAGGCTTGCTTTTCAGGTTTTTTTTCACATTGAAATTTGCCATTTTGCCTTTGAGACTGGATGCTAGCCGAGGAATGAGAATTACCCCCATGACGGCATACCATTTGCGAAAGAAAACAACCCAAGGTATTGCAAAGGAGGTATGTTCAGTTTTTTTTAGTAGTCACTTAGTCACAAACACTGGGCAAAGGTAGCGTTCATATTTGTTTTTTGCATTTGTAACACACAAACAAATATAAATGCTAACTTTGGCCAGTGTTTGTGACTAAGTGGCTTCTAAAAAAGACTGGACATATCCCATATTGAATACCCTGGGTTGTCTACTTTAAAAAAACTATGTACATGTGAGGTGTGATTCAGAGATTTATGATAGATAAGTGTTACAATGTCACTATTGATAAATTTTTAAAATATATATTTTGAAACAGCAATGTCCTACTTGTACTTATAGCCCTACAACTTGCAAAAAAAAAGGCTAAGAACATGTTAACATTGGGTATTTCTAAACTCAGGACAAAATTTAGAAACTATATAGCATGGGTGTTTTTTGGCGGTTGTAGATGCATAACAGATTTTAGGAGTCAAAGTTAGAAAAGGTGTGTTTTTTTTTAATTTGTTAATCACATTTTATATTTTTTAGAGTAAATTATATGATATGATGATAATAATGGTCACAGGACCTCCCTGGCTGGTCCATGCAGGGCCAGTGCTATCCAAGCGCCGGCCCTGCAGTAGTCCATGACGGCCGGTGGGGAGATCAAAGATCTCCATCACCCGCCCACTTGCACAGACATGCGGCTGGCGTGGGAGGGAGAGAGGACCTGGTGGAGGTCTTTCTTGCAGCTCCACCAGGTTCCTCTTGCGAGATCCGGAGCGTTGCCATGACAATGCCCCTTATCTCACGAGAGTGAACTCTAGCCCAACAGGCTAGAGCTCACTCACCACTAGGACCATCATGGTTGGCAGCAGCACCGTCCTCCCTCCCAGGCTAAAGGTAAGAAGGGCGGGGGGGATACAATACCTGACACACACATCACTCTCACACACATCACTTTCACACACAGCACTCTTACACACATCACCCTCACACACAGCCCTATCACATACAGCACTCTAACACACACAGCACTCTAACACACATACCCTCATAAACATCACCCTCATACACATCACCCTCACACACAGCACTCTCAGACACAACACCCTCATACACATCACCCTCACACACCACTATCACATACAGCACCCTAACACACAACACTCTCACACACATCACCCTTATACACATCACCCTCACACATGTTACTCTCACACACAACACTCTCACACACAACACTCTCACACACAGCACTCTCACACACAGCACTCTCACACATCACCCTCACACACAGCACTTTCACATACAGTACTCTCACACACAACACTCTCACACACATCACCCTCATACACATCACCCTCATACACATCACCCTCAAACATATTACTCTTACGCACAGCACTCCCACACACACACACGCACACACACACCCTGCACCCCTCACACACACACATACTGCACCCCTCTCATACACACATACTGCACCCCTCACATACACACTACACTCCTCACACACAACAACGGCACCCCTCACACATACCACAGAACCCCCCCAACACACTTTACCACTCACATAAACACATACACAATACTTCCAATCATATATATATATATATATATATATATATATATACACACTACAGCACCCCTCACACACATACTGCATCCCCTATACACACACTCTCTACAGCCCCTAGGCACACATGCATTACATTACACCACAAACACAACACAACTAAAACCGACCTTATTACACAATACCACACCACAATCAACTCACTCTACACACAGGCAATCCCACAAGCAAGCTCCAAACACATGCACGATACTCTTTCCTGGCCCTTTTGTCTCCTGGTATCCCATTTATAGAGAGACCAGAGACAAGTTGCAAGGAAACACAGCTATTATTAAATATGCTTACACTGTGCAGAACCAATACAGGGCCGTTTCTCATGCAAGAGCTCTTCAATAGAGTTTTGCGCATGGTCTGACCTGGAAGAGCATTGAACCAACATGCTCACTTCTTAGTGGACCGCTGTTATTAAAAAATGCCCGCGCCAAATTTTTTCCCCAGTCCGGCCCTGGTGGTCTTTAACGGTAAGAAAATTGAAAATCGGTCTGGTCACTAAAGGGTTAAATTTGAAATTCACTTTGAATTCCTGACAATTCTTACTTTAATAAATAACCCTAACAGTGTTTAACTTTATGCTGCTATGAAGAGTTCCTTATATGAACTAAGCCAGTACTACGCAAGGAAGAACCCCTACTGAAACAGCTCTGGTTCATTCAGCGTTATATTAATTACAGTGTTTTAAATAACAGACCATTACAAAATGAATCTCCAACATCTGATCAGAAAATGGAACCGAGTGACAATGTGTCTTGTGCTCATTTCCCCATTTTACATTGCATTCTGAATATGCTCTGCAAATGCTTCAGTGCCTGTAACAAGGATTCTGTTTGATTTTCCATATGCTTATATTGCATTTCTGTGTATTTTTGTATATTTTGGAACTTATTTTAATTATCTGGGAAGCTGTTTAACTCTATTTACACTTTTTTTTTGTCTCAACATGTTCGATTTTCCCCCATATTCATAGATTTAATGCAGTGCATATAATAAGTTAAAAACCCAGCACTGAAAAGCGACAGTACTTTACCTGTGAAATTTATTTTTTATAACGCAAACCACGACCCCAGGATTTATTTATAATAAATATAATAATTTAGTAAATTATTATTCATTGCTTGTTTTTCATTAATGATCCTGGTTTTACTGGGACAGGGCCTTTCCTTATTGCAAATGTGCATGTTTATTGTGGTCACGGCCATAATTGTATGCAGCATAACATAAAAGTCATTGAGAAGTCTGTTAGGTGGAGTGCAGTGCACAGTAAGCCAAACGTGTCCATACCTAGTGAATGGATAAGATGTTAAAGTGGATAGAAACAAGTAGTGGAAAAGAAAAGGAAAATGAAGTTGAAGGAAAAAGGGACACTGAAAGATGGAGCATTTAGGAAAAATAATTAAATTAAAGATGTCATGGAACTCCCCTTTCACAAACCAAACTAACCCAGGATAGGCTTAACACTTGAGGTTGGTTTTTTTGTATGCTAATAATATAGACAGGGTATAGTTTGTTGCATTTTCTGGATTTGGACTATATCCATAAGAGAGTGTTCAAAATATTTTTATTTAAAATCAGTAATTAGGAAGTTTTTAGAACCTGATTGCTAAATATAGTTAAATGGCAACAAACCAATGCCAATGTATTGTAGGTGTATAGAGTACAAGTTGTTACTCAGAGTTATTCGGAACAACATATATTGACCGTCTAAACTTCATACTAGTCGTATGGAGCTATAGGCTTCACAGTGCAGAGTAAAAGCTCAAATATCTTTATTATAGTTCAAAACAAAAAACAAAGACACAATGTTTCGGCAGTGAGGCTTTAAAGGAACACTATAGGGTCAGGAACACAAACATGTATTCCTGACTCTATAGTGTTAAAACCACCATCTAGCCCCCCCTGGGCCCCTCATGCCTCCATAAATATAGCAAAATCTTACTTTATTCAAGCCAGAAGCTGTAACTCTGCATGCTGTTTGCCTCAGAATAGCAAGCTGTCTGCTGATATCATCAGAAGTGGTGGTCTGAGCCAATCACAATGCTTCCCCATAGGACTGGCTGAGACTGACAAGGAGGCAGATCAGGGGCAGAGCCAGCATGATTCAAACACAGCCCTGGCCAATCAGCATCTCCTCGTAGAGATAAATTGAATCAATGAATCTCTATGAGGAAGGTTCAGTGTCTGCATGCAGAGGGAGGAGATACTGAATGTTTGGATGCATTTTAAGCAGCCATGACCCAGGAAGGATCTCTAACAGCCATCTAAAGAGTGGCCAGTGAATTTATCACTAGGCTGTAATGTAAACACTGTATTTTCTCTGAAAGACAATGTTTACAGCAAAAAGCCTGACGGTAATGATTCTACTCACCAGAACAAATTCAACAAGCTGTAGTTGTTCTGGTGACTATAGTGTCTCTTTAACCATGTTTAGTCATGATTAAGGCCTCACGGCTAAAATGTTGTATCTTTGTTTTGTCCTTTTGACTATAATAAAGTATATTTAAGCTTTCACCTTGCACTGTGAAGCCTGTGACTATATACACTGGGGCTAACGGACCTCCTCCACAGAGCTCTGGTGTACCAATACACTTGAGTGCAGCATCCCACTGATTGTAAACTTAATATTAGATACTTTCCATTCATCTTCTAACGTGAGTTTGAGTGCAAATTAAACCCTCTCAAGAGTGCCTCTACTGCCTATGAAGATCCTTAGTGGTTGTTTGAAAGCATTTGCTTATTAACAGTGGCTGCACAGCTGATGCCGGTAATTAATTAAAAAATAATAAATAATAAACTGGTGTACTGGAAATGTAAAGCCTAGTAGAGGTTGTAGAAATATAACCATCAGCCACCAGCCCTAATTCGATTCTGGCACCATGCAGAGAGTATTTCAAATACTACAATATCCAGCCTGCACACTCCCCAGACATGTTGAAACTTTAAAGGGGAGAGAGACCACAAGTAAGTTTCTCTCTCCTTATGTCTATTTATAAATATGGAAGGGCAAAGGATTTAGGAAAATAAGATGGCTTGATACGCTAGACTTGATAAAGACCAAATACAATCTAAACTTTGCTGTAGGCCCTCTAACTTTTAGATATAATTAACAGAAACTAACCCAGAGTTCATAATATAGGAGGACCCTACTGACACAATATGATAGAGGCAATAATAGCAGTTAATTGTATATTCACCTGGTAACATAAATAGAATAATGTGTTATTTATGGGGTATTGTTTATTTAGCTTCACAGACATTTGGTTTTATCTCAAGCATGCACAAGTTACAAAGTACTATGACAAAAACATGCTCGTTGAAATAAATTATTTTTTCCCACCCCATCTGTTCAGTAACTTTCATAAATAAAACTTCTCTGTAACCTTTTTCTGTTGTCAGATCTGGTCTCAACAACCAACCTTTTTTCTGTGCTGTATAAAAAATAGAAAATCTCTTGAACCGACTGTCACAAAAAAAAAAATAACAGAAATGAAACACAGTAAAAATCATAAATAGCAGTACCAGTCGTAATGTAACTAACACAAAGTGTTTGAACCAAGAAGTAGTAGTAGTGGCCACTTCATTCAGTAGTCTCTCCTCATTAGTCTATTAAAAATGTTGCCTTGCTGGTAATACCTCCAACAATCTATTTTTAAACATGCTGTTAAGAGCTTCCTTTTGCTGGAGAAGATTTTGTTTCTCCCAAAACATTTATTCAGCAGCAATCTCCTCCAACCAAAGGTAGGTCCTTCTCAATGTATTGAATGTGAAGATGTAAAGACTTAATTGCCATTTTGTCAGCTTGAAATAGTACAGATAGCAATAATCTCATGTCAGTGCACAACAGTTCAATAGAAGTCAGATATCTCTCAAAGTAAAGACATGTTCCATCTTTTACAATTACAAGCATTTCCTGATGTGTGGGACGTGTCACTAAATATCCACTGAATCACTAGTCTGTACAACACTGCACGGGTCTGAGTTATACTTCCAGCTTGCCCCATTAGAACAGAAATGCATGCAAGACACATATGTAATAAATAAGAGGAGCCAGCTCAGAACCTTTGTACAATATATACGAGAACATAAATATCTAGTTCTTAGATGTGACTGTTCACAATCTGAGTCTCAGGTTTCAAGCACATTGTGGAATGAATGGGTGACTGTCTGTGCCAAGAGCTTTTGTCTTCTTTATGCTACCACTATTGCTTGTAATGTTTGTTAGCTCCAGGTAGAACTGTGATTTTAGAAAGCGTCGGTAGGAATCTTTTTCCATCAAGATGAAGATTTTGTGCTGGGCCTGGTCAAAAGTGGAGTTGGTTGGTTGGAGCAAGTTCTTGGTGGTGTCTTCACGAGTAGCAGAATCGAGGTTCACCTGTTGACATGGTTATGAGTGTATTAGTCATGGAGTTAAAGCGTGATGCTCCACAATGATACATTTATGAACTGTCACTACAAAGATGTCAAAAAACTTGCCAATGTCTTGTAATTAACACAAATGATAGAAGTTGAAATTCAAGACTCTATCAAAATATGTTTCTGGTCATCACATTAAACAATATCAAGTTTTATCTTGTATAGTTTTCCACTGAATAATATATGATTGTGATGCAATTGAAATTGTATAAATATGTATTTTTATATGGAATAATTAATATTTTGTAATTGTGATTAGTCATCTGAGTATGGGTCTGATATTTAATTAAGATATTTCATTGATGAATATTGTTCCTTGTGATACATTTGGGGTAGATGAGTCATGAATAGTAGAGGAGAGATGGAAGTCAAAAGTAAGTGTATTTAAATCTAATTATAAGATTCTACACTAGTAAGGTTTAGTGGTGGGTTTGTCCTTTACCTCTCTAGTAGCTTCCACTGAAATGAAATCTTCATAGATCTTTTGGGCGTTGATAGGCAGCTTTGCTGGATTTTTCAACTTTTTGTAATTCTCACAAGCCAGCCAGAAATCCAAATTTTCTTCACTGTATTCAGACTGAAGAAAGGACCGGAATGCTTGTACACCACCTGCAAGCAACAAGAATTCTATTAGGTGTACAAAGAACATTCCAATTACTTGGTTTCACCGTTATCTTTCTATTGAGTAATATGTTTTTATTTTTTTTTATATTTCTTTATTTTTGCGAACATTTTCATATTTCATACAGTTACATATAAAGCATTCTTTATAAAAAAAAAATCCATTAAATAAACAGATGTTGTACCCTAAATATAAAGGGGATTGCATTTAAGTTAAGATGCAAGAATAATGTAGACGTTCAGACCATAGGAGATAAAAAGTGTAGTCCTACATCCGTATTGTTACATGTAGAATCTTACAGCTTTCTCACTTGACCTAGTTCAATCACTCTCCATACATAACAGGCATACTGAGATGGAGGGATAACTAAGGTGTTACAGCTAACAGTCACTATGTTCGATTCATTTTCCTTCTTTTTAGCCAGGGAGTAATTGGGTAATATTGATAAAGGACAATTATGTGGGCATGCTTAATATTATTACTGAGGGTCAACATTGTTTAAAATCTAAAGAAAGCAAATTGGACATGTACACACAATCACACACTAAAAGAATGGGGGTTAGTGCTGAGTATGATCTGAATTATTACATATTATTGCATTTCTATGTTTATGCAAGTGCTATGAAATAAACATAGAAGAATGCCCTTTAAGGTTTATGAGTAACTCCAACCATATGTCTTTAATCCCAGCAGCTGTAATTCAAGAATAGGATGCAAACCAAGAAGCCTGGGAAAAGCTAAGTAAAAGTTAACCAGACATGGGACTAGAAGCTATCATCAACTGTTTGTAACAAAGCCAAACTGGGGTCACTTAAGATTTGAGGGTCACTCTATGTTGACGTCACTAAATCTTCAGTTCTATCCTATTCCATGCACAAGATGACAGAGCAGTGTCAGTACAATGTTTATTTATTGTGGCACGTTCCAAGTCATTCTGGGTTCTAAAACTGATTTTAGTCACGTAGATTCACTATGAGAAATGTAATTCCTTGACATGGAAAAAAAATGTCTCTATCTATTACTCTCTATAAAACTTTGCTTTGTTTATAATATTTTAAATAACTGTAAATTTCCAACTTACATTCATTGTTAATCAGATTCTCCAAGGATTCTGTCCATTTCTTAATGTCATCTTGACTTAGCCTGGAGAAGCAAAGAAACAAAGCATTGAAGGTACATGCACATACACCAAGTACACATATAAAAAGGCGCTTACAAACTACTAAATGCGTGTACTCCATCTTTGTTTACTTTATTCTTGTTTCTTGTGATTGGACACACCTGATCTCCACACTATGTTAGTTGTATTTGATTTTGTTTATCTTTCATGTACGGAAATTTTTTATTTGTCTACTATGTGGTTTATTATCTAACTGGCTTATTATCTAGTACCTTAACACAGACATTATTAGAGAACGTGCCAATAAAATATATTAGCACATGGAATTGACCATTTAGAAGAGAAATTTAGCTGAAGGATGTACACTTAATCATTTAGCTTATAATAAGGTATTTTGTTTAAGGCCAGACCTTGACCAGAGGGTCGGGGGACTGAATTTACCCCCTCCAGTTTTAATTCAATAATGATCAAGTAAGTTTACATATACTTGCTATTAAATTCCGGTTACTGTAGCGTAATTAACTAATAACAGTTACAGAAACACAACCGTTGGGTGGTAAATTGTATCCAGCTGGTTTTTAAGACTTGAATCAAATTTTACTGAAAATGTCCTAAACTTGGCAACATTGGGTGTAACATGATTCCCATGAAAAAAAGAAAGAAAATGATCTTGAGTAGATGTAATGGAGACATACTTTTTACAGCAGCTCAGAGTACCAAAAGCACCATCCCATTGACAGAGTTGCTATGAGAACATTTTGTAAGAAGTCCAGCAGTGACATTTTACAAATATCACATATTTCATCCAAAGAACTAATGTCTAGAATAATTCTTAACGCAACACAATGTCAGAGACTTACCTCTGGCAACCAGGTTTGTCTTTCTTTGGGTAAGGGTTGGTTTCACATCCATCTGTTTTTTGAAGTAGGAATCCAAGACGATGTTTCATGTCCTTCGCACTAAAAAAAAAAAAAAAGAGAGAGGTAAATGCATGTGGATTATGTATAGGTACAGCAAAATAAATCAGGTGTGCTAATTTCAGCAGAATTTCGTGACTGTCATGCATCATTTAGTAATTAAATAAATGGGCATAGATTTTTCTGATTATGCCACCATTTTGCCCAGAATAAGTGAACAAGGAACAAACGTGCACATAACTTACACCTACACGATGCATCATTATGTCAATGGAGAGCACATGAAACACTGGATATAAATTTTGACACCTACAGGCATCTTAAAAGTCTGCAACAGTGGCCTGAAACTATACTTTCAATGCTAGAATAAACTGCATTCATTATCACCTAATGCAAAACAACCATACAAAGTCCCTTTTAATGTTCCTTTCTTGAAGAAAGAAACAACGAAAGAACATTTACCCTGTTCTTTGATGCGTGTAAAAGCTTCTCTCCTACAAAGTGGATATAGCTGCTGCAATGAATGTGAGAGACTGTACATGTATCTGACTGTGGCAGACATATCTGTAGTATTACTTCTAATGCAAGTGTACAAGCAATCTAGAACATCTATGTATCTGTACATTACATGTAAAAAAAAACAGATATAATTTGTATCTTGTTATACCTTTTTTATTGGACTAACAGAATTTTTTAATGATAAGCTTTTGTGAAAACCTTCTTTTCTCTGTACATTAGGTACATATGGTCCCAGGTCCCTATCATGCATCAATACAGAGCACAAATACCCATGTACTTACAGATGCATGTATCTCTGTGTTACACACATCTATTACTAGTAATGGCTTCACTAATCAATACTGTATAATAATAACAACAATATCCCTTAACTCAGTATAGAAAAATACTAGTTTTCAAAGAATGACATACTGTGATACCTATATCAGTCATCCTCCGTACCCCCATGGTATAGCATTATAGAACCAGGAATGATTTGACCATCACACAGTGTTTTATAAACGAGGATCAATAAATCAGGTATACACAGTAATATAGGCCAGGAACAATCTTTCTGCAGTGACAGAATTTCACCCAGGGCAATATTGTACATGAGCAGGAAAGGCAATCTGTTTGTTTTCTCTTGTTAAATGCTATTAGCATTGATGACAATTAACAAAACAAAAAAAGCCAGATGTGATTTATTCTGCATATGGAGCAAGCAAACTATTAGCCTAGGCAAGTTCTTCATTTACACGAAGTTCTATTGCCTAAACAGTGAATTAACAAGAAACTTGAAAGATTTAGGGTAAAATCTTTGAGTAATTATTCCAGTGTGTAACCATATCTAGGCAATGAATCGGTTATCAATCACACAGTAGTAAAAACTATGAAATCTTGAATAATAATAAGCATTTGCAATAACTTGTAGATAGCTAAAGACCAGCTATACCCCATTATATAATAATAAAGGCTGATCCATCCGTCCCTATTATTACATGACATTATCACAGATCTAGCAATGTAGATCAATAATAATCACCCCGGTAATACTATAGTCATTCAAAAAGCTACAAAATAAATGATCAATCTTTGTAACACTGGAATCAAAAGGATTCAAAATGTAGAAACCAAACTAATATTTAGATGCCAGCCTGCAGTTATATCATTGTATTTAGCTATTTATTTTGGAAAAATGGCATCCAGAGATCAGATTATTCAAACACTATGGCATTGCAATACATATTTTAGAAGCCATGACTCATTGGCTCATGGGGCCCCTAAATCCTTCTTCTATCATAGATGACAGAGATTCTGTAGAACCTTGCCTCCAGGTGCATCTCACAAACTGACAGTTAGGGCTCTCGATTCACATTTTATTGCTATTATCTAATTATATATTATACTGTGTGTAATCCTTTACCTGCGTAAATGACTTATCTGGTGTCTTGGGTAGATAGCAGAGTATTATCTAGCATAGGATGACTAACAAAGAATCTCTATTACAAGGACATTTTAAGGTCATTAAACTGCATTACTGTGATATAAAATGTACCCATCCTTAATAAAGGATAATACTATCTATTCTTTGTGCAGTGATAAAACATGCAGGTCTATTCACTAGAGAGTAAGTTATCTCAAATTAATACTTAACATTAAAAATTTGGTCAAAACATTCAAATTAGACAATGTCTCTTTTCCCTTGAATAGTGTATGTGGAACTGCACTCACTCCCACAAATCTGAGCCAGGGTGCTTGCTGAGCCGGAATCAAACACCAGATTTCCAAACATTAGTAAAGTAAGAGAGGTCCAGGCACTCCTTGGTTCAAGACAGGCACTTTATTAGGAACCACAACAGCAACGTAAGCTTGACAAAGACCTTTTGGGGTCAAAACGTTGCTGTTGTTGTTCCTAATAAAGGGCCTGTCTTGAACCAAGGAGTGCCTGGACCTCTATTACTTTACTAATGTCTCTTTTCCCGGCTCACCACAACTAAAATGAAAAGACCTGTCAAGAAATATCTTATGAAATAGCAATGCAAACCGGCTACTGGGTTCTAAAGTTCATGTATTCACTTGGCGGAAATTGTGGAACTGATTTTAATACTATGGATAAAAATAGCCAAATTGTAAAATTTCTCCAACTTTTTGATATTTTGGCCTATATTTTAAAGCTCCACATGATACCACATGTCACTCTTTAATAAATCATTTTGACTTCCCAGCTATGTTGAAGTAAATCAATCTCTCAAAGAATGATTTGGATATATGGGTTCCTTGAAACTTCCTTATTCTTTCTAATCAACTTTCAGAATATGGTATTAATATACGACAACAGAGAGCAGGCATTTAGAGCTGTGCAGTAAAAGCTCTATCAGCAGTATAGAATGTGAACATGCTGCTGGGGTGGTTAATTAGTAACTAGTGGCCAGAACTGTCAGATTACCATAGCTACAATGCGTTTTATGCTCCCAGCAACCTTTATGGTGTTATTTACTAAATTCACTAAATGGTGAATTTACGTTAAAATTACTAAATTTAGGCCAAAGTAGCTGATTTAGATATTTGCTGAGTTGGTGAACGTTTCCAAAAAGCAATACATATATTTATAAAGGCAGTTCTGCCTTTATTTTTGAAGGATGATCAATACATGACTTAATCATTAAGATAGATATTAAAGGAATGCCAATAAATCACTTCTCAATATATATGTATTCAGCCTTTACAAATCTCTGACATTATATTTATTAAATAGGGATATGTATGTACAACGGCCCTGTCTCTTTATGACATTGCTTTTGTTCCATGTTTGCGACTGTCCAATCACTATCCCGTCAATGCCCTTATATTGACTTTAACTTCACTATTTGATGTTGTACCATTCTAGGAATGCTATCTATCGCTTCACTGGTGTTACTGCAATGTCCCTGATCCGTCTCATGTATTTTGCAATAAACAAATTGAGCCACTAAATTACAGATCTAACCCTCTTCTTGGCTTCTGTCACAGCTCATTAGCCTTGGAAATATTAACCAGGAATTATCTCTAGCTCTTTAGAACAGCCCACACTAACAGTGTGTGTATACATAGAGCGCTACGGAATGTGATGGCGCTATATAAAAAATAAAATAATAATAATAATATATGTGTGTTAATATTTATGCCCATGTTATGTGTGTATAGGAGTGCATGTAGCCTATAGAAGATATTAGCCTTAATTAGTAGATATTCATTAATGGAAAAACTGAAACCAAATAAAAAATATATTTCTTTCTTGTTGGGTGATTTACATAGACAGAAACGAAGAAACAATAGCAAAAGTTACCCTCTTGCTGTTTTTATTATAGTAACCATGGCTACCTGTTTATCCAGCCCTGATGTTATTACTGTTCTTAATTAAGAATAGCAATGTTTACGGCAGTGATGTAAGGAGTAAGACTCCACAAAATGTTGGCTGTTGTTATCTTCTAACCTTTTCAGCAGATTTTATGTAGAGCTATGTGTACTTCATTCAGGATGCTAATAATGTCTGGATTGTCTTCTAAATCTAGAACATCGCATCTCAGACTCAAAGTTGGTCCACCTGCCCCCCGAGCAGGAGACCCACACACACATACAAATTTACCAATGTGTTTCTAATGTACTATAGTCAAACGTCCTGCAATAATAATCATATTTTTCAGATGCCCTGACTATACTGTGAACTATTGTTAAGGTGTGGGTTTTAGGGCACACATTAAATTGGACTTAAAATGCTACCTATATAAGTGTTTGAAAACAGCAAAGCCTTTCCTTGAAATACCATAAAGCTTACACATTTCCCATTGCAATCTAGACCATGCCTATCAAATTAAACCAGAGTCAGAATTTACATGATGTAATATTGCTTTGTGAACATTGTTTAGTAATTTAATGTCTATTAGTATATTACAAGTAATTCTAATTCAAAATCTGAGTTGTACATCCACGTTCTAATTACACCAACATAATACATACATTTATTTCAAAGACCTAAAATGGATGGCTTGGTTAAGGGTTAAACCCTGGGTATATTTATCTGAAAGACACGTCAATTGTGCTGTAAGGGTTAATAAAGTGCTAAAGCGCACTGTTTGGATATGAAGCTGTAAAACGTATTAATTTGAGAATTGTATACTCAGTGCATAGTAGCATAATCTGCCTGTACATACTAAGGGGTTTATTCACTTAACTTGGAGTTGTGACAAGAGAACCGTAACTTTTAAAACAAAACTCAAATTTTGAAAATAGCTGTGTTTTTATCATTTTGGTTATTTAGGAGTGAAATGTGGAATTCTTCACAATTCTTGACTTAATCAATAAACCCCACAGTGCTCTGTATTCACGAATTCTAGTCACACTGCATTCAGTAGATGTATTTTTAACATCAGCGTTAATGCATGTGTTAATATAACGAACATCTGACTGGAGAATCTTCACATAATTGCTCTATTTCAACATACCAGATTAATCTGAACTACCAGCACATTCTTTCAAGCCACAGAAATACCACCTTCACTTCCACATCCAATACACTGAACCTACCATCAGATACCACAACAACAATGTGTTACATTCTATTCACAATAATAAATCCAATCCAACTCAATTACCAGCCTGCAGCTTAAACCATCCAAAACAAAAACTGGCCAAATGTGTTTCAGAATAGGACGTCACCATGGAACCTCCTTACAAAGGGTTAACAACATATTAGGGAGAATTAACCAATGGATGATATTCAGTCTCCAATAACAGGTCCCTTAAAGCTTAATGGAATATTTCTGCAGTAACCTGCATTCTGTTATTTAATGTATCACTGCTCTCCAAACTGCTTTGCAGATGTGCAGTGCTCTGCACGTAGTTTCATCCCACCAGCGTTAAAAAGCTCTGCAAGTAGAAATGTTCAGCATGTCCCCAGTCCCCCATTGCAGGAGGCTCTGCAGACATCAGTCTCACCTTTTTAAGCAAGTGGCAGGGAAGGATGTCACTCCAGCTAGTCCTTTACACATTTTGGAGGTGAGTTCAGGCTCCCAGACTCTGGTGCTGTTGTATTTCTGTTTTGTGTCTGTCTCGCTGGGTCTGTCTGTCCAGCTTGTCTCAGGTCGGCTACTGCTGCTACCCATCGTCTCATCTTTTTATAGCCTCAAACAACAGCACACTGATACAGCGCTCAGCCAATCAGAGCGGCCGTCATCTCCCTTCCAAGCATCCTCCCTCCAGAGCATCATCATCCCTCCCTCCCTCCCTCCCTCCCTGCTCCAGCAAACTCTGACCCCCTCCTTATTTATTTTATTTCAATTTTCCACCCTCTGCTGCAGAAAAGGAAAAATAGCAGCAGCCTGTTGACGTGTGAAGGGGAGACGACAGAGCAGAGAAAGAGGCGTCGGGGGAAGTTTTAGAACTTTGTGGGCAGATGTACAGTAAATCAGACCTGCATGTGTTGACAATAGAGCACATGATGGAGATCAGAGAGGCTTAAAGTTTGTTTTATTAGTGGATCAGACATACGCAGTACAGAAATTACGCATATATTTAGAAATATGAAAAAAAACTATTTTTGTGACAAAAAGCCCAATATGACAGAAGCAATAAGCTATAATAGCACACTTGTCACTCGTGATTTAAGTGCTACACAAAGCAATAGCCTGTCATGGTGAAATCTTTGCTGCTGTGTAGAGGTAAATATGCTGTGGAATTTAACTCCTATGATTCATAGCCAGGCAAAAGATAAAAACAAGTTGATAAAAAAAAAAGTTACCCTCCAAACCCCACAAAACACAGACACTACATTTTCCTAAACATGTTTTTATGTCTCGAGATTACTGCATAGGGTATGACACATCTTTTTAAACTGGGTTATTATGATGCTCTAGGCTTTGCAACGCATTATAGAGTCACTATAATAATAATAAAGTTACCTTTTAAAAGTCACTGCATTTTCGCGTAAGAGGTAACTAACTTTCCAAATAAGTATCTTTTATCTTGAAACCTCTCTAATTATCACCATGCTTATTACATCTCTTCAGCTCCTAAAACCTCATATCTACGTTATCCATTCTATACTACGAAACAAACATTAGTCCAGATGTCCAGTGCAGTGGCGCCATAAGGGCAGGTGGATCTGAAGCCTCTAACCATAATCCCACCCCCAATTAAAACACAAACACTACCGATCAATAGGAAAAAATTGTCCACAGCTTTAATAAATATATATATCAACATAACAAAAGTAATTGTCCCCCACCCCTTGCCATATTACATTTGAACATAACCCAAATAATATACAGTGCAATGTCCACATCAATAAATAATAATATAACAATGTAACACAAAAACCAATAAAGTGCAAATCCTTTTTTACGGAACAGTGGAGGGGGGGGATGGATAGTCCCACACCCCGAGGTTCTGGGCCACCGACAGACTTGAAACCTCATCAACATTTACCAGATGAAACTGAACTACCAGCACATTCTTTCAAGCCACAGAAATACCACCTTCACTGTATAACCAACTGCTCTTAACTACCCCCCTGCTTATTTCTTAACTAAAAGATTATATCCCACCTTTATCTTCACCTTACCAGCCCCACCCCTGTGACCAAGCGGGGATAGAAACAGAAAAACAAAACCCAACCAACTACGGGCGAGACCCCTAAGATGACTGACCATATATTATATGTTCCCAACCACCAAACAAATGTACCAATCCTATCTGAGATGCACCTGCACGCCTCCTAGCCCTGTCAGGGCTCCTTTCCACTAAACTGCGCTTGTTCCATGGGGCTAGAATATTGCTTCTAATGGATGATACAACGTTCTATATATTACACATTTTACTACAGTGGTTCCACCAACCGCAAATCCTTGTGGTCCTCTATTTCAGTCCGTGCGAAAACCAGTTGCTTCAATTATTTGTTAGGTAGATGGATAGACAGACAGCTTTATTTTTGGTGTCAGCGCTCAGTTCTCTTCTTTACCATATATACAACATTTTCCAAAAATCTACATTGATTTACATAGGAATTAAATTAAGTTCAGCATTTTGTGGCCTAAACACTCTCCACAATCTCCTGTTTTTATTTAAGGACACACCTTCTGAAATAAAAGGGAATCATGACGGAATATTTCCGTCATGTATCCTTAAGGGGTTAATAACATTAGTTGTACTTACAAGAATCCTGCAGTCTTAATTTCACAATGTCAGATAAATTTGAAGTGAAAAATAGATTACATTTGCTCTCTGTGTCATTCAGCAAAACATGTCAATTTATCCAAAGCTACTTTATAAACATTCCAAAAAATGCAAAAAAAAAACAATATGTGAGCGCTATAAAATCCAATACAGATAATATGGCAGCGTTAGAAATACAATGCACAAGAAATGTGTAAAGAAAGATAATATTTACCAAAAAAACGCGCTAAATTAATCTGTAAACATAAAAGACAAATAATAGTGCAGACCATCTGATAATGGTAATGTACGTAATAAAATTCTTAGGGAAAAAAACTCACATGTCCCAGAGCCCTATCACCCCTGGCTCTGGGTTTAAAAGGCTCTTTGGGAGAGGGGATATCCCCACACTGCAGGGTATTCCAGAAGATGTATCCACTGGTGATTCTGTTATGCTGTGTGTAAAAAGAAGGGCAGGACCTCCAATTGAATAGTATCACAAGTTGATTTATTGCATAAAAAAGTTAAAACCCTTACTTGGGATGTGGTGGGTATTGGCTCGCAGAGTCACCCACATAAACGCATGAAACAAATAATTCAAAACGCTTCCTGATCGCAGTCCGGTCACGTGATCGCTCCCGGGTCCGCCCTCCAATGACGTTCGTGTGACGCGTTTCGCCCGCCTCCACAGGCTTCATCCGACCACAATCTCCTGTTTTTATTTAAGGACACACCTTCTGAAATAAAAGGGAATCATGACGGAATATTTCCGTCATGTATCCTTAAGGGGTTAATAACATTAGTTGTACTTACAAGAATCCTGCAGTCTTAATTTCACAATGTCAGATAAATTTGAAGTGAAAAATAGATTACATTTGCTCTCTGTGTCATTCAGCAAAACATGTCAATTTATCCAAAGCTACTTTATAAACATTCCAAAAAATGCTTGACCACAACGAGTAACCTTCCATTACTCTCTGGGAGGCCCATTAGTCTGTGCTTAAACAAAACTTTACTAAATTGGATGTCTGAAACAAAACAAGTTTTCAACAGGAGATTCAATTTCTGACAGACAAATAACTGTAATGCAAATGAATCACATGTACTCACTTAACACCCAGGACATACTTGAAAACGAGAGAAATCTCAATGTATCTTTCCTGGTAAAAATATTTTATAAATAAATAAATACAAATTCCCACATTCTATTTAATTTAGAGAAAATGAAAACCATTTAAATCCCAAGCACTTAAAGAGTTACTCCATGCTTTTTTCATTATATGTAAAAGCCATAGGCCTGAATTTGTGGGGAGAATTTTCCCTATATAAACTCAACCCCATGCCACAACAACCAGTACTTCCATTCTAGTCTTTCCTGCTAATTTTTCACTGATTTGTCCCAGTAGCCCACAGACCCGGCCTTCAGCGTCTCTGACCTGGCCTTCAGTGTCTCTGACCGGACTAGACGCCGCCTTCTGACCACGAGACCCGGCACGCTTACGTATGTACACATGGGAACCCGTTCACGGTGTTCCCATGTTCGGGCCTACCAAACGCATGGATTGGCTCCCATTACGTTCGCATACACATGTACCGTTCGTTTTCATTTAAACACTGCTGTGCTTTACTTATGTTTGCAGGATTTTTTTCTTGTTCCCGTACAGCATGTTCATTCACTTATTCTGTGTATTTGTCTGTTTCAAACCGTGCAATCGTATACTTTGTCCCGTGTACATTTTGATTTATTTAATATTAAATACGTTTTACCTTTACATTTCAAGATATCCATCGGGATATTGCCTTTCTGTCATGCTATCTGTTTTCTGGCTAGTAGTTTTACACCTATAGGCATCTTAGGATAAAGACAATTTTCGATCCCAAGCCTATCAGGTAAACGATTATTATGTATTTATCATACCGACACATATCATCTTTAAGTTTAAGCTACAATCAGACTCTCCTCTTTATGTTCTGCTCATAAGAGCACATTTTTCCCATCTGTTAGTCACTGTATTTCCCTTCTAATTTTCAGTTCACATCACAACCGGTAGTTTCATCAGATGCCTTTTTTCCAGTCTTTCTCTCTCTGATTATATCCAGTTTGTTCACACTCATATATTTAGGCTCATTCACAAAAGAGACAAGCCCCGCCAAGGTTAAGAACTGTCTTTTAGGGATAGGAGCTGGCCTTAGTCCAAAAAAATTATCATCCTGTTTCCACAAGGCCAACTCCCCACCTCAACACAGAGGTTTCGCGTTACGGCGCAACTCATAGTTAGCGCCTCGCATACTCTTCTGCAGGGTCATAGCCAGGGCCACACATTTCACGGCTACATTGACTTTTTTACTGTCAACGAGAGGCCAACACCATGCTACAACGCATCGTAGCTATGAGCCCACATGGCCCAAATCACAGGTAGAGCCTCTCACAGCCAGTTGGCAACTAGCAGGGCCTCACCGGTCACTGGTTAGTTAATATCTTCGCCTATCGGCACTAGTTAGCAAGCCAGTTCTACATAAGGGAAAGTTGTGCATGGTTAACTCGTTATTCATTTTGTTACAGGATGCGGCAAGAAATAGCTCCAAACAACGTTCTATCTCTAAAAGACACTCCAACCCGGTCATTCCAGGTCCCCCACAGAATCACCTGTCCCCTGTTAAATCGTTTTTAGAATTTTAATGCTTAACAAGATTTTCCCAACACCCCATCCTCTGTGCTGCATGGGCTAATGATGAAGCATTAACTTGAGCCAAAATCCATGGTGGCTGTAACTGGCTGAGAGTGCCAGCTGACCGCTTTCAGCGTATCACAGCGCCCTTTGCTGGCATGAATTGGCGTGGAGAAAAGGAAGTCTTTAACCACAATTCTATAATTAGGCCCATCATAATTGTGAGCACCGGGCCCAATGGGCTCTTAATAAGGCTCTGGCCAGGAACCATTATTCAGTTTTAAACCACTTGAAAATGAAGTGACAGTGCCAGAGGACTGCAGGCACTATAATTACCTCATTCAGATGAAATGGTTAGTTCCTACTGTGTACCTTTAACAGGGCCGTCTTT